AGAGCCCGAAAAACCCACAACAACGATATTTATCATGTTTTTAAATTCCTTATTTTATATGTAGTGAGCCACCTTGTATCCCCTATGGAGATAAAGGTGGGAGATTAGATCGATCGATCGATAGATAGATAGAAGGTGTAACATTGTAACAGCTGTACATAGTTAGAAACTGGAAATACCTTATTTTCATATGGTTTTGGTGGTGGTGTTGAAGCTCAACATGTGGCCATAGCGCTTTTCCTAGTGCAAAACACAACTACTATTTAGTTGCACAAGATAGCAATATACTCTGCAGGGGTTAACAAACAGGACGTGTGCAAGTACTCCCTAGCACTGTTTTTTTCAGTACAGTATTAATTTTGAAACTTGTATCAGACGATTCTGAACAATTGAATATACTGTTTTTAAACGTAACTTGATTCATCAGGTGCATCTGGCATTTCTAGCAGCTTTGTAAGGGAGTCTGGGATGCTATATTTGCTGTGCATGACTATGATTCATAAAGTTTGATGAGGTACACTGTGTAAAGCTCTAGTAAATTGTTCGGAATCATATATTGTTTCCAGTTTTGATAGAAGACACATAGTGGGTGTGTCTTTGTATCTTTCTGTTCATGTCTTTTAATTTGTATGTGTATGCAATCTCATGCTAGTCTAATGGGATCTCTGTACTCCTCTACAATGTAAGTATTATTGTAATAATATTACTGTATTTTCTCTTGCCAGTAGATCTATGGAAATGCAAGATCTAGCAAGCCCTCATAATCTTGTGGGAAGCAGTGAAGCACAGGGTAGTTCAAAAGTGGACAAATCTAATCTAAGCAGCACATCTGTTACAACAAATGGAACAGGTGGTAAGTAAAGACCTGCCTTCTTTCAATCTAAAAGAAAAATGTACTTTGGTATATTTAGAGAATTGGTCTGTGGTAACAAGAAATTATACCCATGAAGAAAGTGAATATCAAATAATACAGTAAAATAATGGCTGAAATCCTGTTGCTGTGTTATGCGTGCAGAAAACAAACTGTGTAACGTTCAGTCACTTCTAGCTGGCAATTAACAAGTCACCACTGGGATTCTTGGTGGCACATGCACTCACTAGCTTGGCATACAGTTGGGAATCTCAGTGGGGACTTGTTAATTGCCAACTAGAAGAAACTGAATGTTGCACCGTTTGCCTTCCACATGCATGACAACGCAACAGTGTTTCAGCCAATCATTTGTACATAACCCTGCTAGACTGACTGTTCTTTCTTACCAATAGTCCCCTAAATACATAGACTCTCCCTAGCATTGTTTAGTTATATTGATTTTGTCTCAACTTCTTTTCCATCCCCAGTGTGTACCTACACACATTCCTGGAACAGCCATCATTTTAATTCCACCCTTGTTTATGTTTCATCTTTGCAACCTGACCTGTTCTTTAAGCCTGCTAGGACTGTATTGGTATTAGCTTTCCTTTAATTTTATTATCCAAATATCCAGCCTGGTATTTCATTTTCAACCAGTCTGTGTTCAGCAAAAATAACATGTAGGATTGGCTAAATTACAGATCTTAAATTTGTTTAAGCATTGTTGGCTTATAAAATATTTATGCTAATATATGCTAACCTGTGAATCAAACCTACTTACTTGCTTCAACCTTCTTTTCACTAAGAAGAGAGACAGACACTAGAGATTACCTGTGGCTGGAAGAGTAGGATACTTAACTAATGAAAGTGTCTGAATGTTATAGCACAAGTTTCATTCACCTCTAGAATTATGCATGTCAATATCCTTTACTATCCTATCCTTTACTTGGTGACCATGCTTAAGGATTTATCTAAGGAGTCCTTTGACGTCTGATTTCACAAATCAGAAAAGACTGCTTCAGTAACATCTTATGAATATAAAGGTATTTTTACTTCTGATTCTGAGTTATCTTTAATGTCTGTATCTGGCTTCAGGCATATTCACAAAAGGTAAACTTACTAAATTGCAGCTAATCTAGATTTATAAGGAATGATTCTGCATTTCATGCTGTGTGAATATTTCCATTGAGCTTGATTTAAAAAATGAAATCAGAGAAGGAAATGTGTAAAAGTATTAAAACGTAGTATCTGCTGATCTCTAGTATGACAGAAATGAGCTCCTCTGGATTCATATTAATTGAACATCCAGATACTGCCATTTACTAAATCAAATTTCATATTACCCTTTTCCATTATGCTTAGCTGTAAATATCATTGACACGTCAGGCTAGGTCTTCCCTACACCTTGTACATGCAAAGTATGTGACCCACCACTAGTTATGGGATTTCTTTTCTCATGTGTACATCCTCATCAGTGAAAAGAAAAATCAAGCCCTAAGATATATTTTTTGTACAAGACGTGCTTAAAGCAAATTTGGAGAAATAACTACTTATCTGTTCTTGGATTTAAAAATGATTCTGATATTCTCAATATAGTTTGATTATTAAAGATGATTCTGGTACTGTGTACTTACACTATATTTGTCTTATTCAGTGACATCAGTCTTGTTTCAGATTTTTACTACTTTTAAAATTAAAAACGATTATCATTGATGTCATAAGTTTTGTCAATTTGGTAAGGCACTGAAATTACAAGAAATAGTGGTTGCTAAAATTTCATTGTATATATCATTATTCAGCTCAACTAACAAATTCTGTGTGAAACTTTTTTCTGTATGGTGCCCTCTGTTATACATTGAAGTATAGACCTGGTAGAAAAGGGTGTGTTGTATGGGTGTATTTGTGTGTCTTGTGCTTTGGGGTAATGTGCCAGTAAAATCTGTCTTTTTTCTGGCATGGTGTCCAGAGGAGTGATCTTGGAAATGAGGTGTTTAACTTTTGTAAGTTGCTCTGTATGGCTAGAAGCACAACAAAATCCAAAACTGTATGTCAGAATTTACTAGGGCCACAGGAGCCTAGCAAATTGTTTTCCTTTACAGTATTTCTTTTTATTATTAGTTTTATTTTTTTTAAAAAAAATCCTGCACTTTAAGCAGATAAGCAAACAATAAATGTATACCATTCCAATTCTCAGGAGACAACATGACTGTTTTAAACACTGCAGACTGGTTGCTGAGTTGCAGCACTCCTTCTTCTGCAACAAGTATGAGCAATCCTGGTATTGTGCATGTGTGTGCCTGGCTTCTTGACTGCTGTGTTGGTTATCTGACGTTTTATTTCTTGATTTGTCATCACATCACATTCTGTTTCTCAGAATACTACATACAGAGAAGCACAAGAAAGCGGCAATGTTTTATCAAAATATAGAGTTTCTAACATAGTCTATTATATACGTTTAGATCTTCAATTCTGAATAACAATGAAGGTAAAGGTTCCCCTTGACATTTAGTCCAGTCATGTCCAACTCTAGGGCGCGGTGCTCATCCCCATTTCCAAGCCATAGAGCCAGCGTTTGTCCGTGGTCACGTGGCCAGCGTGACTAGACATGGAACGTCGTTACCTTCCCACCAAGGTGGCTCCTATTTATCTACTCACATTTTTACATGCTTTCGAACTGCTAGGTTGGCGAGGAGCTGGGACAAAGCGATGGGAGCTCACTCCGTCACATGGATTCTTACGACTGCTGGTCTGCTGACCCTGAAGCACAGAGGCTTCTGCGGTTTAGCCCACAGTGCCACCCCGTCCCCATATCAATGAAGAGAAGCCTATAAATATCCATTCTGCGGTTTAACCCACAGTGCCACCACGTCCCCATATCAATGAAGAGAAGCTTATAAATATCCATTCTGTGTAAAAGTCAGATCAGTTAAATATATGAAGTGTTTTGTAATTATATGAAGATGTAGCTTATCACAAATAACTTGCCTGCAAAGTGGGAAACCAGAGTTTCTCTGCTAGCAGAGAAAATGATTTGCTTCTAGTTCCTGGCTTTCTAGTTGCTAGCTTTCTGTTGCCATTAAATGAATGATGTTGCTATGTGTTTTGATTTCCCAACATTCTCTAACTAGGAATGTTGATGAACAACTGCATTCTCTTGGAGAATTCACATATGCGTCTTTGCTGGCCTCTCTCCTTTTCTAGACTGCATTCTGTTTCCCTATCATCATGAACCTTGCTCTGGCTTTCTATTTAGCCCTGGATTGGTTTCTGTGTCACTTGGACTGCTTTTCCTTCTAGTTTCTCTAGTTCCACACTATATCTTGAATTGCAGAGGTTGAACAATGGGAGATTAGTGAATGGACCGTAGTATGTTTGAGCAGGGTAAGTAAGAATCGGCCATTCTCAGTGGGAGCCATATGGCCTCCTGGGGGCCCTGGCACATTAGAAGGGGACCACAGACTAGAAACAATTCTTCACACACCACTTTGCAAGATTCATTATGCAGCTGATATAATCCTGACTTGGCCTATATTTCTTTCATGTTGTAATTATGGCTGTGGCCTAAAAATTTTTGAGAATGGCTGCCCTAGATGATACTTTGTTTCATCATCATCTATTCCTCATTTTCTACTTTAAAATGAACATCATCTTCTTGTTAAAATATAGAGGAATTTTCCTCCATGTTAAGATTATTACAAACTCTTACAGTACTTCCCATTAGTTTTATATAGTTTATCAAATGTTTAATGCAGATTTACTAATAGTGTCATTGTAGCACTAATGAGAATGCCAGTGTGATTGGTTTCTGACTTACTGATGGTGGATTTCCCTAATTCCAAATTTACAGTTGGGATACTCTTCTGCTTTAAATGCAACAGTTTTATTTAACATAATAGGTAACTTTCACAGCTACTTCAAAAGGTCCGTCATCTCTTTCCAGACTTGGTTTTGAACTAGTCCATTCCCTTGAACAGTCCACAACTTGGCTTCTAGTGGTAATGGTCTCTCCCATGCTTTTCTTACTTTTGTTCTGGATGAGAGGATGGATGCGAGGCTGAACAAAGGGTGCCACAACAGGGGAACCAAACCCAACTCCCTCTGGGTTTGCTCCTTCTCTTCTTTCCATCTTCCTGTCTCCCCCACACATCATTTGTTCTTAAATCTTCTGTGTTGGGGGGGGGAACATTCTCTGTAGGCTGGCCTTCCCCATTCATGATTTACCTTCTCCCTCTCTAAACATCGATGTTCCCTTCTCTCTCTTTCCCCCCAGAAAGAGAGTTTATGAGAGAGTTGATGATGCCTCTGCCTTCAAGTAATTTGGGGCACTATTTCCTATTCTCCTATTTTCTCCTCAGTGCTACCCTCCTTGGGTGAGTCACCTCACTTGCTTCAGTAAGGGGTTCTGGCTCTCTTTCTCCTCCTCCCTCTGACAGCTGTTCTGTCTCTTCTTCTACTCTCATTCTCCCCATCTCTTCACTCTCCTCCACTTTTATCTCTGACTTTTCCTCCAGGTTCTCCCCCCTCTCTCTGTTGTTGTTCTTTTCTTTTCCTGGGCTTTTTACAGAGCCCAGGTTGTCTGATGTATCAGGTAACTCCAAACCCTCTGTTCTTTGTGGTCTCTGTGAATGCACACTAATGGGTTGGGTTTAGTCTGCGCTTGCGCAGAGGTTTTGGAATATTCTAGAGCTTTAGCATGCGCTTGCCAGGGCCGCCCCCCCTCCCAGTACACGTGGTCCGCCCATCCTGGCAATTACCTCCGTTCCTTTTTGGCGCCGCTGAGGTTTCATCTCTCGTTGAGCTCTTCGCTTGCCTTTCCTCATTTTTCCTAAAAACATTTAAAATATGAAAGATTACAGTAAGAGACTTTTCGATCTGTTTCTCCTTTTCCTGATTGCCCCTACTTTTCCCCCTCCCCCTCCCTGACCTATTCTATGGCACCCGTAGCCCTATTTAAACGCTGCTCTTTGTGCCAAAACAAATTTCCACTCTCAGACAGACACGATTTATGTCTTTTTTGCCTGTTTGATTTGCAAAAGTTTTACCAAGCAGGCTCTTAAGCTTAGACAACAACGCTTGAGATCTTTTCTCTGGGAACGGTCCCTCCTACCGGCACAAACCACTATGGATGCCACTGGAACCGTTCAACCTGAAAATACATCTCTTGGGGTCCCTACCCAAGGATCTGTCTCTTCCAAATCAAAATCTAAGACTGCCACTAAATCCAAGCCTTCGGGACCGTCGACTAAATCTACACCAGTACTGAAACCTGCTTCGGTACCTGCTCATACCAGTTCTAAGAAGACTAAGAAACTTTCTTCGGATTCCCAAGCCTCTAAAAAGTCCATTCAGACATCAACTGGAAAATCCAATCCTTCACGCTCACAGACCCTAAACAATATACGGGTCACCCTCTCCCTTCTCGCAAATCTGGGCCTGAAAGTCAACAAAGAGAAATCCGTCCTGACTCCAGCAAAGAAAGTAACTTACATCAGAGCTGTTCTGGACTCCCAGAGAGGGCACACTTTCTTACCTCAAGAGTGTGCAGACAAACTACATGCCCTTATTCAGGACTTCTCACCTCACACTCTAGTCACTGCACACCAGGCCCAATGCTTACTTGGCCTAATCGCCTCCACAATGTTTGTCATTCAACATGCTGAATTGAAAATGCGCACCCTACAGGCGTGGTACCTATCCCTCTTTGACCCTGTCCTCGATCATCCTTCAAAACTCCTACAGGTCACACCCAAGCTTTCAGCCTAATTACTCTGTTGGGATACACCAGCAAATGTCTTCATTAGTAGACCATTCACACCCCTACAACTAACAACCCAGGTTACCACAGACGCCAGTCCTACGGACTGGGGGCATATTGCAATGATCTTCATATCCACGCACCCTGGTCCCAATCCAAGAAGACCCTCCATATCAATGATTTAGAACTACTGGCTATTTTCAAGGCCCTACGGGCCTTCGAGCCCATTATCATGGGCACTGCCATTCAGGTCACGACGGGCAACACCACGGCTATTTTCTATCTCAACAAACAGGGAGGCACTCACTTGCTCCCCCTGCTATATCTCACCATCCAGTTATGGGAATGGTGCCTCGAGCACCACATCTTTCCCATTGCCGTCCACATCACTTCACAGGACAGTTATGTGGCAGATGCTCTCAGCAGGACACAGACACACATGCACAAACGGTCTCTAGATCAAAAGGTCTTCCTCGACCTTTGCAAGCTCTGGGGTACTCCCAACATAGACATCTTCACAACACCCCAGAATACAAAGTGTCCCCTGTACTGCTCCAGGGCTGGCATCAGCCCCAGCTCTCTAGGAGATGCATTGATGTTCCCATGGACAGATTGGTTCATTTAACTTTTCCCACGAATTCCACTTCTTTTCCATGCCATTGTCAAACTTCAACATGAATGCTCGAACGCCATTTTCATAGCCCCCCTCATGGCCCAGACTGTCCTGGTTCACCATGCTCCACTCCATCTCAACCAGCTCCACTTATCCACCATTCCTCACCTGCCCTCGCAACATCACCAAAAGACTTATCACCTGGACCTCACAGCATGGAGGATCCGCCTGTAGTACAAGCCATTTTAGCCAATGCCCACAAGCCTTCCACAGTCTCCACCTCACAGCATGGAGGATCCACCTCTAGTACGAGCCATTTTAGCCAGTGTCCACAAGCCTTTTACAACTCAGCTCTGTACTTACAAATTTCCAGAAATTTACTACCCAACATGGTCTTCGTACATGGTACCTACAACCCTTCAAACGTTCTTACAGTTCTTTTCTTACCTGTTCCAGCACCAGCTTTCCTTCTCCACCCTCAAGGTTTACATCTCTGCCATAGTTGTGCACCAGCCACATGACTCTGACACGGCACAACTCTTCCGTTATCCTACATTGAAACAGTATCTCAAGGGTGCCTCTAATATGCGACCCCCTAACTCCTTACCTCATCCATAGTGGTTGATTCATACAGTCCTTCAACATCTTACGCTCCCTCCATTTGAGCCGGTAGCGACCATCTCCAAATCCCTCCTGTCTTTTAAGACCCTCTTCCTCGTGGTCATTACGAGCTTGCTGCCCTTTGAGTCGATCCTTCCTTCCTACA